AATCTCTTAGCATCCTTCACTCTCTGTTTAGCTGCTTCAGTTGTAAACATACTATCATATATTGTTACAACACGATCTACCATATCCAACACCAACAGATACCAATGTGAATTATGGTAGTTTATTGTGATCATGATCTGCAACAAATTTCACACCCAATTTGACAAAATTCAACATTCTATATCCGAAAACATCATTTGCAATTGGTATGGTGTCTTACCTTCTCACAGTCGGTGAATTTCACATAGTTATCCAATATGACACCCCAGAAGGTAGAAATACTCTCAACACTTTCTTTGTTGTTGGCATCCAACGCCTGTTGCTGTAATTACACAACAAACATTATTAATTTACCGTCTATAACACTACTTTTCAATATTTATTAATTTAACTCACCACTAAGAGGTATGGAAGGTAGCCAATCCTCCGGAGTGACTTTTGAGAATCGTAGCATATGGTCCAGGCGAGCAAATCGATAACCTAACAAAATTAATTACACAATCAGAACATATTCAATAAGTTTTAACATTTTCTACTTTCTACTTACCACACCGCCAACCCATTCCGTAGGCTTCAACGTTGCAACGTCGTATACAGTAGCGAATTGATTTCCCATTGAGATTACAGAATATTTGTATGAATCATTAGGATTAATATGTTGTCATGAAATATTTAAATATCACTCACAAAACAATATATTTCACTTACCCCGATTCTAACTCGCTATTCCATAAATAATCACAAATTGTAGCTTCGATGTCATCAATTCCGCTTGGAATATCCGCTTTTTCAACCTACAATTTTGCATACAAATTTTTGTCACAACAACATAATAAAAATCAAATTAAGTATTCTTTTATTAAACTTACCTTCTGCTTCTTCTTCTGGGGTGCAGGACATTCCGAATCCAAAACTGCTGCTATAACACTCTCCGGTGTATAAATGACATCGACTTCCTTCCTCCTCATTTCTTCAATCTCTTCTTCTTCCTCCTCCCTCTTTTCTTCTTCATATTTTTTCAGTTCATCGTACTTTTTTTCTACATAGCTCTTCATCTCTTTTATTTCACCCTTCAATTGAGCTCCTTCATCCGAGTATTTATCAACCACCCCCTTCACCCCCGTAAGTTCACTCCTCAAATCCACAACCTCCTTCACCACTCCCTCAAATTTTTCTCCCGTCACCATCTTAATATCACCCCTTAACACCCCAACTTCTTTCACCACTTCACCCCTCAACACCTCTACTTCTTTCACCACTCCATCTATTTTTCCTTCCACTACCCCCTTATGCCTCTCAAGTGTATCTTCGACTCTCTCGAGTTTCTCTACGACTCGATCAAGTTTCTCTTCGACTCTTGATTGTCTTTGCATGATTTCAAATTGGATTTTTTTGATATCAGCCAATTCAGACATCAAAATGTTGAAGTTACTATGTTTTCCCTCACCGTCGTCCCACTCACCGTCATCCCCCAATACAACCATCCCTCCTTTCTTCTCCTCTGCCTCCTCTACATCCTTGCCAATAACCTTCAAAATTAAATTACAATATTAAGACATTGATTATATTCTTAATATTATTTAATTACATTTATTACCATTTCTTGTTTCTTCCCTCTATCCAACTTCAACTTCACCATCACTCTAACCACCTCTTCCTTCCCCCATGCACGGATGCGTGCCACTCCGGTTCTTTCATAAGCCGGCACTGCCTCACAGCCCGACCAAAAATCGAACAGTGCAACCTGCATTTATAATAAAATTTATATTTTTATATAAAAACACAAAAAAATGATTCAACTCATTTACCTCTAAGATTGCTATGCACCCTTTGAGGCATCTCTGGCTGCCCTTTTTAAAGGTGATTATTGATTCAATCAATCTCGAATGGATATATTCAGCCCAATTGAATTCACCCTTCAAGCCTTCATCGCAAATGAGCTTCATATATTCCTTGTTCGTTGACGTATCACCCGTTGGACAAAGAAATATCCCGACAAGGTACAATAGAACTCGGGCCTTCAGCTCATCCCCCCAGTAAGATCCACTTTTGATATCCTCTTCAACTTCAGCATATGTCACCTTATGATTCAAACCATATTTGGAGGCAAGTGCTTTCCAGTTCTTACTCCTACAGACTTCTATAACACTTTTGCCTTTGTTTTGTACCCCCAAGACGACTGCAGCAGTCGATACCCCCAGAGGGAATGAATAATCACCATACTTAGCCATACATTGACTGCCGTCAAATTGTGCCATCAAGGATCGACACAATTCCCTCCGAATAGGTCGATCCCTTACTCCGATCAACGATCCAAAACCTATTTCTCCCAGCACATTCAACTGACCCTTCTCCTTAAGGTGTTTAATTAATAAATTCACCCTTTTAATGCTGCATCTTGTCGACACTTCCTACATTTTTTAACAATATATAATGTTATAGTTCTTATATATATTTTGTATCAACGTATTTACAAGTTTAATGAATACCTTATTTTCATGTGCTTTCCTCCGTTCTTTGTATTCTTTACTATCATTCATTGACTGTGTGATGTAAGGTTCCTTTTCAACATCACTCATTGAATTCCATTTGGACCTCACATCTTTTTTTCACCTAATATTAAACATAAACGTTTCTTAATCAATACATTAACACTAAATACTAATACTACTCAATGTCAATTTCATTTTACATACCGAACCGCTCTGTGTGCCATCTCCCTTCATCCTTTTGCATTCGGCCATACTGTTAACATTTAAAATTTGTAATCAATTTAAAGTTTATCGATACTTTAATCCAATTATCATTTCAACAATAATAACAAAAAGACATTGATACTTACTAGAAGTACATATATCCACCCTTTGGTTGCTTTCGAGTCTCGGCCTCAATTTCAATGTCATCAGCTCCACCAACAATTTTCCAACCCATTGACTCAATTTTTCCTTCATATATCAGTTTACGCAAATCAAATTATTTTGTTACATACACTTTATTCAATATACAAATATAGATAACTACTCTTGTGGTAAAACGGTTTTCTTCAAAAGAATTTGAATGGCCACACCAAAATGTGTCGGCGCATTTATACAACCTACAATATCATTTTCTACCTATAATATTTAATAAAAGTATCGACATTTATATTTTTCCTTGAATATCTATTTCTACCTGCAATCGGTTCCAAATGCTTCCTTACTCCAAAACCCCAAACAACACATAAAAAACCCTATCGCGATTACTGTAATAATAAAAAATTAGGGTTTCGACAACATACTTTTCGATTCGACTGCAGCAACAAACAAACAAACTTCGCTTTAGAAACGCCATCTGAAATGCAGCAACAATTACGCTTCGATTTCAAAAACTCGTCCGTTCTATCTTTTTTCAGAGGATATTTAGCTATGGCCTTTATATTTTCATCGGATATGTTATTTATATTTAATCGATACAAATACAAAAGTGTCGATACTTTTATGTCAGGTGTCGATACTTTCGAAAGGATAATTACCTATTTCTTTGAAAGTGTCGATAATTTATTACACGTACTTAAGAAAGTATCGACACTTTCAATATATCCGGTATCATTTTACCGGTTTTATCATTTTGATACCGGTTTTATCATATTTTTACCTGTTATATCGTTGTGGATCGATATATTTTTTAAAGTATCGACACATTATAGGCGCTATAACTGCTTCTCTTTTAAATTCACAAAGTGTCGATCCTTATATAAAGTATCGACACTTTTAATATATCCGGTAACGTTTTACCGGTTTTATCATTTTGTTACCGGTTTTATCATATTTTTACCTGGTATATCGTTTTGGATCGATACAATTTTTAAAAGTATCGACACTTTATAGGATTTAAAACTGCTTCTCTTTTAAATTCACGAAGTGTCGATCCTTATATTAAAGTACCGACACTTTAAATGTATTCGGTAGCGCTTGACCGGTTTTATCATTTCTATACCGGTTTTGTCATAGTTTTATCTGTTATATCGTTTTGGATCGACACATTTTTAATTTGGATCGACACGAACCGGTAGTACAATTTTTTAATATTTCTTCATGACTTAGACCTACTTTTATAAGTATGGACACTTTTATAAAAATGATATATACTTTTTTTAAAGTTATGTAATTTATGTTTCAATTTTTTAATAGTGTTTCATGTTTTCCACCTACAATATTAATTTAATAATTTAATTTACACAAAATATTATTTGATTGTTTTGATATTTTATAAAATATTATTTAGAATTTAAATTTAACAATATTAACCAAATATAATAATAAATATGTTTTCAACAGTGAAATAAGTATGGACACTTTTATAAAAATGATATATACTTTTTTGAAAGTTATGTTATTTATGTTTCAATTTTTTTAATAGTGTTTCATGTTTTCCACCTACAATATTAATTTAATAATTTCATTTACACAAAAAATTATTTGATTGTTTTGATATTTTATAAAATATTATTTAGATTTTAAATTTAACAATATTAACTAAAGATAATAATAAATATATTTTCACAGTGAAATAAGTATGGACACTTTTATAAAAAGGATAGATAATTTACAATATAACAGGTAAAAATATGACAAAACCAGATTCATTATGACAAAACCGGTAAAATTTACTTGATATGTTAAAAGTATGGACACTTTTATAAAAAGGATAGATACTTACCGATAACCAAAGTTTACCGGTTACCAAATTTTTTAATAATTTTTTATATTTTCTACCTAAAACATTATTAGTTGTCAACATAATAAGTACCGCTAAACCGAATTTATTAAATACATTTTAATGTATCCGGTAATGCTGTATATTAACCGTATATTAACCCGCCTTTCCTGAGACATTCCCAAAAAGAACATTATAAATTAGTGTGGAATAATTGTTAAACTTACAATAACAGCATTTGTTATAATTCTACCTCAACGTGTGGAATTTCTTTCACTAAGAGAGTATCGAATAATTGTTCAATTAAAAGACACAATTTTGATAAAGGGGAAATTTAAAACAAAATTTTAATTAAATAGTGAACAAAGATTTATGCAGTCATACAGTTATCATATCACTGCATTTGCAAAGTGCAAATTTTCAAAAGAATCGTTTTCAACTCTTATCTTCCCTTGGTTGCTTCTTTTTCTCCCTCATTGCCTTTCTCTTCTCTTCCCTGCAAGAATTTTGGACCATAAACAAAAAATTTAACAAGCTTTTTCATCATTCAACAATAAACCAACCTTTTACAAAGGATTGAATTGTATTGAGACGAGCCATCCTACCTCGTTTTTGATATTTCCTCTTTAGAAGGAAATTTTCTTTTCCTCTTTTTAGATGTTACAGGCGATTCTACCTTTCCATTTTCGCTTCTTTCCTTGTTTTTCAATGTAGACGGTGATTCAACCTTTCCATTTGCAGGTAAGCCATTCTTCTTTGAGCTCTTCTTTTCCCTTTTGTGCTTTGTTTCTTCAACGGTTGCTCAGGCTCTTTCACGTTGTCCTCATCACTATGGATCTCCTCTGGCCTCTGAGTTTGTTCTACTGTTTCGGAACCATCAGAATCTACAGGATTTTTCTTTGTATTGCTCATTTTCTTCAACTAAGGAAAGTCGAAGAAGAAAGAAAAATAAATAAACCGTAAAAGAGTGTTGGGATAGAGATCACCCAGGGTGAGTGAATGAATTGAAGTTCGTTAAAATGTACCTTTGCCACAAAAAATCCATCCATATTGTGAACATGAGGATAAAATCGCCTTGTGTTTTCCAAAGATTTATGAAACCGATGCTCCCTAAACCGAATATATCTGGTTAAAGGAAACAACATTAGACGAAGAAATCAGACAAGGTCAATGAAAAAGTCGAATGGATATACATAATATGATCATTACCCTGGACACCCAAAGTCGAGTCCACAAGGTACAACTTTGACATCTCTCCTCTTGAGTGCATAGTCAATGACTGCTTCATTCTATACAGATAGAGGTAAAATCAGAAATAAGAGTGGATAAATTTTGGATGATAGGAAAACCAGAAGAGAATTCCTTAAACAAACCTCTGGAACCATCATGGAGCATGTTGAGTAAACAATGTATCCACCAGATTTGGAATTCGCATCGACCATATCGATAGCAGCCAGTATCAATTGCTACAAACAAAAAGATTTGAGATTGCATGGATTAATCTCTTAGCATATGCAAGACATAAGAAAGGGATCAACTCAGCCCTTTTTGTGCTGACTCTGAACTTAGGAGCTTTATTGTAGTTCCTAAATACAACTAAAAAAGGCGAAAAGCTCATAGAAAGAACATACCTTCTGCAAATGGGCACATTTTTGTATGTCGTCTAAACTTTTAGAGGTTTTAACAGATGGATCCTTTGTAATAACCTATACCATAAAGTAGAGATCATTCAGTTCAAGCAGAAAACAATGAGAAGTCACCAAATGAGGAATAAGGTTACAACAGATGCTTACTCCTGTACCACTACAAGGGGCATCCAACAATACTCTGTCAATTGAATTGTGACCCAAAACCTTGGGAAGCTGAACATTAAGACAAAGATGAAGGATTAGAAAATGTCCTTTAATTCATGCAATTTGTTTTTGACCTACAACTAATCTGGGACACCCCAAAAGCACTTAAAGAAAATGGATTCAACACTTAATGCTTTTGAAGCTCTTGAACTTGAAACATCACAATCATCGAATCGTCAAACTTAGTATTTGTATTCTTATAGGGCAGCAGAAAGATGCTTACCTCCCTCCCATCGTAGTTGCAAACAATTGTGTTTGTTACCCCCATGCGATGCAAATTTGCGGTAAGTGACTTCAGTCTTGCTTCCCTTATCTCATTTGCAAAAATTAATCCTGGCCACAATACCAACAAAATGTTAAAAAAGGAATTTAGAAATAACTGTAAAAGACATATTGAACAAAGTGCACAATAAAACTATAAAAAGATAATTATTTTTGCTTAATCCATACAAAATATTCATCATGGACAAGCAAATAACTAAAATAAAACATGATAGAAAATCACACCAAGTCAATAAACAAAATTCAGCAATTTGAATGAAACAGAGAATAACATACCACTATTTTTCATGAGAGCAGCAACATATGTTGTTTTACCACCAGGTGCAGCTCTGCAACAGGAACAATTATAATCAGAAGGGAGAAAGATCAATTTTATTATTTATGGGATGTTTATATATGGAAGACAATATAGAAGCAATTTATCCTTATCTAATCAAACGTGGAGCACAACGGGAATCAAGGATAGCAAGGGAAGGAACAAACTAGTATTAGAGGAATGTTCTGGGTTTTAGAGTAACCCGAGTATACACTACATAGTGTGAAAATGCATCCATCTGACGATACATCTAGACTTGAGGTCGAGATCAAATGATCTACACAAGTGTAAATAGTAATGAAGCACCCAAACACAATTAGCATCACTTCTTGAGCCTGAGTAACTATATGTTTATGCTTAATCAAATGGATTACAATGTCAAAAGGAAATGTTACAAAGAAGAAGAAGAACCGTGATTCTTCTAGCAGAACCATGATTCTTCTAGCAGAATCTGCAATATAGATATTGCAAAACATTTTAAACCCCCCAACATCTACTTTAGAATATGGCTCACTTTGGCGATTTTCTTCAAAAAGGAAATCAACATATAAAAAGGAACAATAGTGTACAGAATGGAGTAACTCACGCCATATCAACTACTCGTTCCTTTTCCTGAGGAGCAAGAGCCATAACTGGCAAAAAAGAGCTTGCACCTTGTATCTATTGGTGAAAAAAGGTAGGTCACTGAAAGTGCCATAACATTTTATTTTGTACAAAATAATAATAGCAATGGGATGAAAAGAGTAATGAAAAAACACTTACATAGTAAAAGCCAGCCAAATACTCAGGAGTGGCACCAATGGGCACATGTGAATTATACACCACCAATCCAACCTAAAAATTGAAAATTGGTGTACCTTATGTACTCCATCAGAAAATAGAATTTTAAAAAATGATGATTTAAACAGGGTTGTTCCTACTTTTGACCACTTGCTTAATTGGTCAAGTTCTACTCCTCTTTTGGAGAGAGTATCAGCCAGATCCCTCCTGCGAGTCTGCATATGGAAGGACATTATGGCTATAATTGACTAGAGAATGAACAAGTCGACAATGAAGACAGCAACAGAGAAAAGGATATTCACCCTTAATGTGTTTGTCCTAATACATGTAGGTCGAGGCTTTTCAAAAGATTCAATAAGCTCCATGAGTTCAACAACTGGAAACATCTGAAAAAGAAATGGCGGGTATTAATACAATTAATTGAGTACCAATCTTACAGATCACACAAGAACCCTTCCAGCTCCTTCTCTTCCTTCAAAAATAGGAAAAGGAAGAAACATATAGTAGATAAGGACAAAAGTGTTGAAGACAAAAAATATAGAACAAGATGATCATTACATCCACCAAAACCCCTATCAGGAAATCATTGTAGCCATAGTATGAACCTAAATCCTTTTTAAGTTGGTCAATATACTCCTTCCTTGCAGCTCCCTCTAGCTTCAAATCCTTAAAATTTGAAAGCACTCGAACAACTACAATAAACATACAAAATCTTAGCAAATTAGATAATAAATGGAAACCATGGAACATAGAATTAGTGCAAAAACCACTGACTATCTTTTATTCTCATCTGAAGATTGGCAAGATCAGGCGGACGTTGTTGCTCGGCTTCGAGTTCCTGAGTGGTAACATGAAGGAAAGGAAATATAAGTGCCTTCACAGAATTAAACTGACAATAACAGCAAAAACAATCAAATTCGAAAGAAAACCTCTTTTGTTGGCAATCTAAACTCATCAGACTCTTCTTTAATGTTCATTTACATTTCTGCTTGTGCATCTTCTTCTTCCCTTGCCCTTTGTTCATCAATAGCCCTTGACTTCTCCTCAATATCAGATTCATCAGAATCGGAACCTGATGTAGAACCTGAATCTCTTTCTGCAACAATATGACAGAACAACAACCACAATCAGTCAGGTAGGAAGAAATGCGGTGAAATCAATGAAACATGCAAATACTGTAGCAATACTAATGCAAGGAAAAGCTATGTTTCTATTCCTCTTGTATGTTTCTGATATGACCGTGTTCCATTTACCGAAAGTTCTAATGTCTACTTTCATGATACGGGTACTCAGAAAGCAAGAAAGCAAGATAAATGCCAACAAAAATTTTCAGCCCGTAATACATAAACTCGTCAAGGGCCATTACTAATCAGTATTTCGCATGCAAACCAATGCTGTAGCTACAAGAAACTATCAGCTGAATCTCAAAACTATATTTACAATTGAGGCATTGAATTCAATCTAAGCAGTGTAAACAAAGAATTTAAAGGGAATGGGAAAACGGGTACCTTCACCATCATCACCTCCTTGTAGGAAATCATCAGCCAAGGGAGCATCGTCGTCGTCGTCGTCCGAAGTATCAGAAGCATCACCAAAATCAGACATTTCTCCAACCCCATCCAATAAATCCTCTACTGCTTCTAATTGATCTTCTTCACTCTGGTAATCAGAAACATCATCAAAGACCTCATCTTTTTTGGTGCCTCGTTTTTTGCCATCGAAGAGATGGCTTCTTTGCTTCTTTTTTGGAGGTGGGTTCTTCGATTTTGCTCCTTTGTTCTTATTAGCTGCCATTCGAAGCTGGAAAAAAAAAGGCGCAAACACAGGAATTTAAGCTCTTCTACTAAATAACAATAGGCAATACTGAAGTTTTGCTTGAATTTTAGGGTTTTGCAGTTTTTAAGCCTCCCTAGGGTTTAATGGTAATACTGAAATGTAAGCAGACCCCTTGACTTTTGGGCTGAATTTGGGTCAGTCGAACTTTAAGGTTTGGGTTTCTGTTAATGTGTTTGGGTTTTAAAAAAGGTAAAGCACAAATATAGTCACTGTAATTTGGGTATATTCATTTATTGGTGACTAAAACTTTAAAATTTAATTTTGGGTCACTAAATTACAATAAATATTGACGACTTGACATATTACCAACTACATATTTAAAGTTTAATAAGTTTATAGACTATTTTGTAATAATTTTTAAAGTGTATAACATTTGATAAAGTTTGTAAGATTTGATTTTTTAACACTTAAAATTTTAATTTATCAACTAATCTAAATTGAATATTGCAGAGGCAAATGTGATCCTCTTAACCTAATTTGTTCAATTCACAAACGTCAAAGTTCGAATCCCTGACCTTGCTTAAGGAAATTTAGTGTCTCATTCTAGTTATTAGTTATTAATGAATTAGTTTACGAATTATGTATAAAATTATACTTTGAGTGCATAAATGTAATAATAATCTTTCATTTTAATTACTGACATCCAGTTTATGAATCAATTTCTATCCTCGAATATAAAATTTGAATTCTCAATCAATATAATGATATTTCAATATTTAATAAGTTTAGATTTTCCATATATTAATGTAGTGATGTTCAATGATTTCTATAAAAACTAATATTACATTTTTAATTTCCTAAACAAAGTATAGCATTTTGAATACAGTAAAAACATTATTGATTCAATTTTCAATTACTATGATTCGTGTATTGTGTAAACTGCAAATAAAATTATAATATTTCAACATGTAATGTAAGAGTCGAAAGAAGGAAGAATTATTAGCTTAAAATAGCAAGTAAATGTGTATATATATTTCCTTAAAATAGGCAGTAATGGACCTAATGATGTGTGTGTGTGTGTATATATATATTGAGGTATTGTTTTTGGATCCAGCAAGAGAAAGATGGCAGCAATGGAGGTCGAAGCTGGAAAATCTGCAGTCAATGTAGAAGGTAAGCTCTTATATGTATGTTACTCAAATGCTTGAATGTTATGAACTGCAGGAGTATCTAACGAGTTCTGTTGGTATCTTTGTTTCATTTTTGCAGAAGATGAAGTGGACGACAATCCCATCGAGCAAGTTGGGCTTACGGTTCCGATTACAGATGATTCTTAGGCTTACGATTCCTATTACAGATGACCCGACGGAACCAACCTTTACGATTCGCACATGGATTCTCGGCATACTACCTTGTTGTATCCTATCCTTTGTCAGCCAGTTCTTTGCGTTTCGTCAAAGTCAGCTCCCAGTCTCATCGATATCGGCACAAATCATTGTTCTCCCTCTAGGGATGATAATGGCTGCAACTCTGCCGAAAACCAAAGTTTGAGTTCCGTTCACGCCGTGGTCGTTGTCATTGAGTCCGGGGCCGTTCACTAAGAAAGGACATGTGCTGATAACTATATTTGCCAAATGTAGAGCTGGGGGTGTTTATGCAGTAGATATCATTACAATTGTCAAGGCCTTGACTGGGAACTTGGGAACTTGGGCGTTGTCTTCCACATTAGCCTGCATTTGGGAACTTGTTTTTTCTCGATACAACCCTACATAATTCTTTTTGATCTCGGTCATGATGACAGGAGAAAAAAGATGACTTACGCAAGGGCTGTCCACTTGGCTTGTTGTAAAATAGACAAGAGGATTTTGTTTATAGCACTTGGGATTATCCATGCGACGGTAATACATGCACCGAAAGAATTGAATTCTAAATCCTTTACGGTGGCTACCGCTACACTACACCTGCCGAGACAAGCGCTAGAGCCAAAACCTGCAACCCCATGGATTTCATGATTACTAGCTGAGAAAACTGGATAAAAGGAAAGAATTTTAAGGGAGTGTTTTCCAAGAGCCAACCAAAACCTTTTGAACAAAATGGTTTTCCCAAAGAGAACAAATTCCCGAGAACAATTGTCGGAGTGACCGCGATTTTAGCCAGTTGGTAGAAACCAACACAGCAACATGAGCTAAATTGTGAAGAAACGGAACATAAACGATTTATTATTTCGTAAGACAGAAGCAGGCCTGTTAAACTTTAGGCTGGTATTGGCAAGGCAAGAGGCAAAGGCCATTATAGCTCCCAAAGAGAAGAGCGAGGAGAAAGGAGTGGTTTTCAAGGGAGGCGAAACCGGAAGCAACGAAATTGTCTTGAAAAATGCTAGTAAGAACCATGCTATGGAGTAATGTATCAAAGTTAGGAAAATCGGGAAATTGAATCCAACTCTCTCCATAATCTGCAATGGAACATAAGGACTCGATCATAAAACGTCCAGCATTGTTATCGTAAACTATCCACACTAAACAAGATTAGAGGGACTAAATAATTTGTTCGTCAGTATAATCCCAACAGAAACGAAGAAATTGAAAGACATAGCCTCCCCAGGTCCGCAAAATCGTTGCTGTTACCGCTTGGCTCCTTCCGAAATTCGAAGCGCATTGTAGAGGGAACTCCTGAATTCTTCCAATGTTCTACCTGGAAAAAACAAAACGGAACTTATTAGTATTTTATGAGCGAAAAAAATAACCAAAGCAAATAGAAAATATAATACAAGTGATGTGATCCTGTCTAGCACTAACTTTCTTCATGACATACATCATTGAAGATCCATCATGTAACACCCTCAACCTGTATCCGACCCGGATACGAGTCCGAAGTGTCACATTGACTTTTCAAACATTTATTCGTATAAAATAGTGAGTAATTTAAAAACTTTGATAACAATTAATTCATTCAAAACGTTTACAAAATATATCAGAGTTCATACAATTTATATCTTTAGACTACATGCCAACTATACTCTATAACCAGTACATATATTTTCTGATCTGACATTTGGTAAGGAGAACTGACCTGTCTTGCTCCGCATTACTCTTTACTCTTCTCGAAACCTACGTGTGAAACAATTACACGCTAAGTCGAAGACTTAGTGAGGCATAAAAACTTATAATGCACTTTATAACATATATCAATACATGCATGTTCATATCTCTGGATTAGCCCATGTACATATGTGAGAACTATAGATATGTGAGTTTATGGAGGTTGTGCACTAATGCTGTCACCACAGCTCATATAAATGCACCGAAGTGCCACATAGAATTGCACCGTAGTGCCGCGTAGAATTGCACCGTAGTGCCATATAATAATGTCCATAAGGACCACATATCATTCCTTAAGAATCATATACATATACTAGGGATCAAGTATGCGTCTCACCAGACTTCACACATGTTCCAAAGAATACATATATGTCCCAAAGGACCACAATGTCCCAAAGGACCACAATGTCCCGAAGGACCACATATCATTCCTTAAGAATCATATACATATGCTAGGGATCAAGTATGTGTCTCACCAGACTTCACACATGTTCCAAAAAATACATATATGTCCCGAAGGACCACATAGACCCTCGACTCTTGGCATGCCAACTATACCCCTAGCTCTCATGACACATAACATGGGCATTGTCATTTAACAGTTCACATTACTTGTCATTTCTCTTCTGTCACATACCATATGTATGTGTAATCATGTATTCCATATCATATCACATGTTCATATAAGCTCATAGCTTCTTTCACATATACATGTAATCACTTAGTCTATTTTCATGTAATTCTTTTCACTTCTCATATGATTTTATATTCATATCTCACATATTTCATATAGTCACTTGGCTTATTTCATTTCACATTGGGCATGTCTCATAGCATATATCACACATGCATATAATCATGTAACATATATAATAACCTATATCCATTTCATGTATCCATGCACATACCAAAATCATAAATCAAATAACATTGTATTATTACATACTTTGTTCCATAGCCATATATTTACATATCTTATACTTACCTAGTTTACTCTATTTCACACATAGTCACATAATCACGTAATATACTTACGCATAGATCATTTTCATACCTAAATCATATAACACTCAATTCTTCCTCATAAAGTTATATATTATATTCATATAATATCATATTATCCTATAAGTAAATACTTATCTTATGGTTTGGTATCATCATTTATACTCAATTCCCTTCACTAATATATTATTCTCATATTACTCTCTAGTCTAATCTTATTTAACTCATCACCTTTCTCATGTAGTCATATAAATCTATTATATAAATTCTTATAATTGATCACTTATACTATTAACATGTATGGCCACTTATCATATAACCTATTTCATATTCCCATGCAATCATATAGACCATTCATATTAATTCCTATACTTATCACAATACATGTATTCACACAATCATTTAACACATATTGTAATATATATCACATATACCCAAATCAAACATATGCCTATGATCATAAATTAATGCATTATAATATAGGAAATAGACTCGTCGCAAGTCTTATTTCCATTAAACATCATAAACTAACTTGTATGCACTCACATGGCCTCACTAGTCCATTCAAATCTCTTATCTTCCCTTTTTATCGATCTTACTTGTCAATGATTCCAGAACTCGTTTAGGCTCTGAATCTACATAATAATTCATTGATACTTATCAGTATACTAATTAGTATATTCTAAACTATCATTTCTTAGGCTAAAAGAAAAGCCATTTTCATCTTTTAATGGAGGCCTGCATCGATGCACTGAGGGCATTCGATGTTCATTTTATAGAAATGCATCGATGCACTCCTTATGCATCGATGCACTGACGACATTCGATGTTTGTATTTAAATTAATGCATCGATGCACTTCATATGCATCGATGCACCTTCAACAAATTTATGGGATTTATCATTGATGCATCGGTGCATAATGAATGTGCATCGATGCACAGTGCCCAGAAATGTCATTTAAGCACGAAAATCTCTTCTTACTCTACTTGACACTTTAT